TAGCAGGTACGCGCCATTTTTACAGGCATGATCTACAATTTACAACATATACTGGTTCACAGTATGCATCCCAAGCAAGCTTGTTTAGTAGTTATAATCTATAAAAGTTGATAGCAGTTCATTCGTTCACATATAATGTGTTTTCATAAGAATAGTTTCCAAAGGGGCATAGCGTCTACGTTATATACCAGATCCAATCTCGACAAAAAGTGTAATAGGGTTTTGGTAGTGCTAAGTATTTATGTAATGCAGCTTTTTAAGTTTATAATTGTTATAAAGTAGGCTTGTGGAGCGCCTGGTTCGAGGTATGACCTTGGGAAAGCGCGTTCGTCAAGCTTGTTCCAGATGTCAGAAGTTACATAGCTTCACCCTCAGAGCAAGATTCTGAAGAGAAAAAATAAAAGAGAAACCGAGGAGCAGCAAGGCATTTGGATATGAGCGATAATCAATACTTAACATTTATTAGTGGAACAGATGGAGGTATGATAAATTATTAGATTAAATTGATACTAGAAAGAGATTGCATCGGAATCATGTCCCGGATAAGTGACTTAGATATTTTATTACGCTAATATATTTAACGTTTGCAGATAAGAGATTTGGAGCATCTTTTCTTTCATCTTGATTATTCGCATCAATTTGGTATGACGATTGATCTCATATGTTACTGAGTAGTGTTAACCAAGGTTGGGAGGCCAGGATCACTAAGGCCAGCATTCGGTTTGTAGTCGCCAAAACATTCAAGATCATGGTATACTGGAGTACGAACATCAAATAGTGGTAGTGCCAGTAGTGTGTCGTAATTTCAGTCTTGTCTTATGACATCTGTCTATAACGAAAAGAAACAAGAACAACAGAAACAGATCAGTTGATAAAAGTTATCTGGACATTATTCGCTTATTAACCTTGACTATATTTTCATATGAGCCTGTATGTATGCACACTTCGTATCTTATTCATCATGATGGTGCAAACGCTGGGGGCTAGAGCTCAACACAGAGAAATGCGGTTGGCTATGTATTGGTAACACGTCACTTAAACTAAAACTAACACTTAACAAAAACCCACTGCTCAGACTGACATCAGTAACTGACCTTGGGGTACATTACTCCGACAGTCTTAACTTCTCTGAACATATTTCAACTAAAGCATCTCAAATGCGGAGATTGCTCGGCTTCATCCTTCGTAATTTCTTTCAAAAGGAAACGAAAATCATCCTGTATAAAACCTGCTTAAGACCCATCGTCGAATACTGCTCGTTCTTATTTTCCAACCTACGCCTATCTGATATACTTAAGGTGGAAGGAATACAGCGAGACTTCACCCGCAAAATACTTAAGAATGACCAACTCACTGACTATAAATCCAGATGCCACATCTTAGGACTAGAACCCCTCTGGAAAAGAAGGCTTAGGTCTAACTTAATTCTTTATTTCAAACTCCTTAAAAACCTTACTTATTCCACATGTAATATAGCTCTCTACCAAGACTCACATGGATACAACCTTCGAGACAAAGTATCCACTGTCAAAATTGAAAAACACAGATCAAAAACACGTGAAAACTTCTTCCTTATCAAGTACGCATTGATATGGAACAGTCTGCCTTCTGAAGTACGCATGGCAGACAAATTACATACGTTTACAAGACTCATTAATCAACCCCTCACCTGCATAGATCTGGTGCAAACGAACACATCCACGTCTCACACAGACATCATAGGCTCTGTACATATATAGACTGAATCGCCTTATTTCCCTACCTTGTGGTTGTATTAGATACTTTCCCCTCACTAATTCTTTTCAATTGAAGTAGACAGGCAACTCACTGGATCTATCAATACTCGGTCGCTAAACGACGCTTATAAATACCCTAAAACACCAGAAGAAACGCACAATCGACTGACTACTGCCAGTGGTCGTACAACCACAGAACCTGTCACCCATCAACCGGTTAGCATAGAACAAAACAACCTCGGCGCGAATTTAGTGTGAGTTAATTCTTGTCTATTCTTTATCAGTTTTTACTCATCTGTACACTATGTTGCCTTGCCATTAATATTATTTCACCACTCGTTATCTTACCTTATCTGTAACTAATATAAATCTCCACTTTTCCGCCTACTATGGTAAACAAATATCCTACACTATACCCTTCCTAATGCCTATACTCTGATTTGGAAGCCAATGCTTCCGAAACCTGTGTGGGTAGAACGCATGTCTCCAAAAACACCCTAAATGTGTGTTATACGAATGCTCGTAGTCTTCGGAATAAGATGTCTGAACTAAGTTTGATGGTAGACGACTTTAATCCGGATATAATTGTTATCACCGAAACTTGGCTCACTGTAGATATAGACTGTTCTCCAGTCATTTCAGGCTACATCTGTGTCAGAAGTGATAGAGTTAGAAGTCGCAAGGGAGGAGGCATAATATTATATATTAGGGACCACTTCCGCATCAACTCGATCATATCGGAGGCGCATGTAAGTGGTACGTGTGAGGTAGTATGTTGTACAATTAGGTCTAGAAACGGGTTAGTGACGATAGGAGGAATATATCGTAGTCCGTGTTGTCTCGCTGACGACTTTATCCTAAAACACGTCTGTTCTTGGAGTAAAGCAGAATGTTGTTTCATCGTTGGAGACTTCAACGCACCCCATATAAACTGAATAGAGCTCACAGCTCTAGGTGGGGGTTTCGATAGCGTCCTTCTGTCATCAGTTATTCAATGTGCACTTGTACAATGTATCGCTAAGCCGACGCATATAGACTTGGAACATAATCCGTCATTGATAGACCTTGTCCTCACACACCACTGTGAAGATATCGTCGACATTCAACACCTTCCCCCACTGGTGAATAGTGACCATGTCGTACTTTCCTTTAAGTTCCGGATACATGGTATAGAATTTGCATCTGCTCCACCTCGTCCTAATATCTGGAGAGCTAATATTCCGGCAATAAGGGACTATGCTATCTCAATCGACTGGTCGGTCTATGCTGATGGATCGATTGATGATGCATGGAATAGGTTCAAGTCTACGTTCGAATCCGTAACTCAACCGTTTATCCCATGGTCAGCACGTAAGCTATCATATTGCCCCCCATGGATTAATAAGGAAACCCGGAAGCTGTTGAAGCGTAGGAAACACTTCTGGGACTTCTGGGACGACAGTTGGCATACGATAGCCGTACCTGTCCGAAGCGACTGTTTTCGTATGTTAAAAGGCGGACGAAACGTAGTTATGGTATCCCCTCATTACTGTTAAGCGAAAATTCAGCTTTATTGGCTGAATCTGATCTAGAGAAAGCGGAAACATTTGCAAACTATTTCAGTGAAGTTTACTCTACGTGTAGTGTTACAACTACTTGTCCCGTTGACAATGAGATACCAGCCATAGGACCTTTGCACATGACAGAGGATATTGTTCTTCCTTTGATAACTAACCTAAAACCTTGTAAGATACCGGGCCCCGATGGGTTACACCCACGTTTGCTGTCGTCGCTTGTGGACATTATCTCAAGACCGCTCACGATGCTCCCCAACACGTCCCTTTCACAGGCTCAACTACCTAGAGACTGGAAAGACGCCATAGTTAGTCCTATATTTAAGAATGGTCAGAGACGGATCGTATCTAACTACCGGTCTGTTAGCCTGACCAGTATAGTAGTTAAGTTACTTGAAAAATTAATTCGGGCTAAGCTACTAAGCCACATAGATTCGTACAATCTGTTAACTCCCGAGCAACATGGGTTTCGTAACAAGCATTGATGCTTGACTAACTTACTCATTGCGAGAGAGGATTGGACAGCTGCCCTAGACAACGGCCAGTCTGTCGACATGATATTCATAGATTTTAGCAAAGCGTTTGATAAGGTTTCACACTTAGGTCTTATGCAAAAGCTCTCGAGCTTTGGTATAACAGGTGCTATACAGGAATGGATAGGAAGCTTCTTATGTGACCGCAGACAGAGAGTGAGGGTCAATGGAACTCTATCCGAATGGAAACCGGTCAAAAGTGGTGTACCCCAAGGCACCATCTTAGGCCCTGTACTTTTCCTTCTGTATATTAATGAACTGCCTTTATTACTTAAGTCGTCGACGTTATTGTTTGCGGATGATGTTAAAATCTGGAGACCAATAAGAAATGAGACTGATCGTTGTTACCTGCAAGCAGATTTAGACGAATTAGTTAGGTGGGCTCATGATTGGGGCCTGGAAGTTAATTCCAGGAAGAGCGTGTTCATGCACATCGGGCACGATATTAGTTACCATTATACCATTAATGGTACATCTCTGCCACGCGTTCATGAGCACAAAGACTTAGGAGTATTTATAAGTCACGACTTAAAAACTACTACGCACTGCAATGCGGTTGCTTCCAAAGGCTACCGCGCGCTATGGTTGCTTCGTAGAGCATTTAAATGCTTTGATGAGGATATGTTTCGAATTTTATATCCCACCTATGTAAGGCCACACTTAGAATACTGTATCCAAGCAGCTAGTCCTTGTCTGATAAAGGATACTAAATCGCTTGAGCGTGTCCAGCGTGTAGGGACAAAATTAGTAAAGGGTCTTTCCAAACTCCCTTACGATGAGCGTTTAAAACGTCTAAACCTTTTCCCCTTATCTTATCGTAGGACGCTAGGTGACCTTATACTGGCATTTCGTATCTTTAATTATGATCTAGGTGTTAATATGTCTTATCTTTTTGCTCCCTCCAGCACTAATAATCTCCGGGGTCATAGCAAGAAGGTTCTGAAACCGCGATCTAATAAACTAAAGGTGGGGTCCCGTTTTTCTCATCGAGTGGTCAATGACTGGAACGCTTTACCAGAACAAGTGGTGTCAGCACCATCAGTGAACATTTTCAAAAAGAAGCTGGACCTTCACTGGAAGGAAATCTGTCAGGATTAACACAGGTTCATCAACCTACTATCCTTATTACTGAAGACTGAACCATTGGATATTGAATTGCTACGTTTCCATAACTAAGTGCTTTCCTGTGGTTTTTAAATTCCCCGAAACAGGTCGGTTGAATGTTCTTCAAATTCGAAGGATCATTTGTTCTGATACAAATGGTTGAGTGGCTTTTGTGCAGTCCTTTAAAGAACATAGAGACGAACGTCGTAAAGTCATATGTCTTCATGCAAATTGTCATATGCAATACACATTCGGGGTCTCAAATTCAAACCTTATGAAGAGCGCCTCAAATCACTTAACCTTTACCCGTTAGAGTATAGGCGTCTTAGAGGTGATCTTCTTATGACTTATAGTATCCTTAATACTTCTGGTCATCCCCTTAAACAACTTCTTAAGCTTAGTCATAACACTAATCTCAGAGGTAACACCCAGAAATTGGAGACCCTACATAGCAGAACAGACTGCAGACACAACTTCTACTCCGTTAGAGTTGTCAAGTGCTGGAATTCGCTGCCGACTGAGCTAGTCCAAGCGACCTCCCAGGAGTCCTTTAAGAGAAAACTTGACTTATTCTTAAGGACTAAGGATAACATATTATTATGATTTACCAAATTCTTTTTTTTCCCTCTATTATCGTTCATATACCTAGGTTTTTGCCTGGAGGTATTGGTGATCCACTGCTACCAGACACGGAAGCCCGTTAAGCGAAAGCTTCTTCTATTCCGTCCTCAACCATTTGAACATTGTCTAAACATACATTGCAATGTAAGTTTAGACAATGTGTACACATGTGTACTTTAAGCCCCATGCTTTTGGTAACTGGGTTGTTTATTGGAGTGCTGATCAGTCCGTCTGTACTTATAATATTATCGTTAATTCGATGGAGATGATTTATATTGCTATTTCAAGCCACCTGAAAAGGAATAATGTCTAGACTTAAACTAGCTAGTTTATTCTCTTACCCAGTTTCTAAATTTTGGGGAAAAACCTATCCCTTATGGGGAAATTTCGGAAAAGCCTCTATGGAGAAATTCGGGGTGATGGCGCAAGACCCTCAAACTTTCCCTAGATTTGGGCAAATCCCCAAACATTTGGGATAGACCAATGGACTTTATGGAAAACCCTGAAATTCCCCAAAATAGAGAGATTGGGTAATTTTGAAGTAACTTCAATAAATCATTTGGAAAGTCCTTGGATAAGGTTGTCTGCAGAAAGCGTTGTTTTTGAGTGATTATCAATTTATGGTCAGTCTACTTTCGCTAAAAGGAGGCAGGGAAATTTGTAAGTATTCCGTTAGACTTATTCTTTAGGGATCCCAGCTAAGCTATCAATGGAATCCCTCATATAGGCCCAAAAGCAGAACTGAGAATCCTCTTGAATTATCCTTTTACCTAGAGATTGAATTAGGGACCTTTCCAATAGAACTTTGCTCTCCAGCCATAAAATGACCTGAAAACTGTCGGGACAAACTGAAGATTGTGACAGACCGTTTCTGTACTCATAAAGAAGATTTGAACTTGCGAATAGTCAATAATTCGTTCTTTAAATTTTCCATAGAACTCTTCGACGTCAGTTCTCCAGCCTGTTTCAGTTATCTGGTTTGCTATCCATTACGATTTCCTATCACTGACCTTCACTAATTTTCTTATGAAGTGCTTTGAAAAGTATGCATGACCAGATCGTTCAAAACTTATAGCATCAATACATCAATTTTTTCTGATCAATTACGCCTTCTCATTGTCCTAACAAAATTTACACAAGGAAATGCTTCAAGTTTGTAAAGAGAAGTAAATTTGCGGACGAATTAACGGAGTTAAGGATAGCGTCTTGAACTTTGGCACAAAACCCATTCATTCATATGGTTAAGCAGTATCTTGGCATCTTAGTTAATATCATTCGGGAGTGAAAATTTTAACTATCGTCCCTAACTCTGATGTCTAACTCTAAATGCTAATCCCAACTCGTCAGACTAATGTATAAGCCTCTTTCAACTCTAGTAAGTAGTTGAATTTTCCAAAGGTCACTTTAGCGTAGCTCAAGTGTCGTCCATAAATTATGGTCATGCTGCAAATTCTTGTGTAAGTGTAGTGAAGCGATATGGTCATTATAGTGTCCTTCATCACTACACAAAATATGGAGTCTCCTTACCTAGCGTTATTCGTCATAAAGAGCTAGAGTTTACATTTATTACCTAAGGACCGTAAGTAATGATATTATTTAATACAGAATTGTGAGATAATTAAAATGGCACATTCATTTCGGAGTACGGCATATAACTAAGCATGTAATTGTCGAATAGACTAATTCAATTCTATTGGTTAACTTATGCCTTACGTGTGAATCCTAATATTTCTTTGTGCGGTTGTCTACCTGTCTGTCGATCGTATTACATTATTATATTGTCTTACAAATACTCAAGACACGTTAACTAATTGACACTCTGGTCATTTCATGTCCATTTCAATGCGATACAGATTAGATCAGTCTAATGTAGTCACGGACTTATCTAACTACGATACAATTGCTGTATATTCTATTACCCGTTTTATTTTACTTCTAATACAGTTGCTCGTGATTCTAGTTACTAGTGTTGGTAAAAACCCGATTCAGTTAAGAAGAGGTCTAAATATGGCTTTCATTCAATACTGTTATTTTTCCAGTTCAGTTGTCTCCACTCAATCCAATTATACTTTAACTATTTGTCCCTACTATATATGCTGGTGAATTCCATTACTGAAATATATATCCAAGAACATTTGTGTTCTAGTTTTTACTTGATTCGTTTCTCCTTGGTCATCGATTATAAAGATAACTAATATAACAGAAGCTGCAAGATAGCTGCCTACAAAAACTTTTCGGTCTTATAGTAAATTCGTCAGATTTCAGGATTTAGATGAAAATACGTCTCAGGATATCATACTAAATACACGTGAAATCGAATTCAAAATATAGGATTCTATCAATAAGTTTTTGTTTCGATTATGAAGTGGATGTAGTCGAACGGGTTGGATACCTGAAATAATGAAAGGTCTTAATGATCCGTTGTCTGAAAATAGACGTATAAGCTTTCACTTATTGCTGTTACTTTGGCGTGAGTTAAGAGGTAATTTCATATTTGCTTGCTATACACAGAACAGTGGTTTTTGAACTAGTATATCCTATTTATTTCCTCCATCTAGAACCGATAACCTGGAACGACGTCGTCGGGAAATCTCAGAAACCAAGATCTATTCGTTTGGTTTTGGAGTTTTGTTTAGCACATCGGGCCGTGGATTACTGATATTTGCTCTCATAACATATGTTATTAGCAACTAATGATTCATACAAAGCGAAATAAGGTCTTCACAGTACTATAAAACTAAAGGAGTTGACAAAAGTTATCTGACCTTCCGTCTTGACCATTGGAGACTTTCGTATACATCTTGATGGATTGAGCACTTTTACATTTGTTTCATTCATAATATCGAATTGCACTCCACAATAACTTCATATAAATTTATTCGATTCCCGTTCTTTTTTGAAGCCTTATTTTAGTAGAAACTGTCAATATTTCATATTCCCAGATCTAAGAAAACTTCTGTGTCTTCCTTACCTGAGCGTTGCATACTGAGTTTTTAGCCCCATATTCATCCTTATCTGTATACAACTACATAATCAAGCCATTCATTGGTTGGATTTCCACATATCAACGAGGGGTGCAATATTTCCACATGTTCCTTAAAACATTTCAAGATTTAAAAGATATAATAGGTACTATTCATCTTCATGTTTTTCAAATTTTTTAAGTTAATAAACCCGGTGTTTATGATGTTTATTTAAAAACAAATGAACCGATTTCAGAAGAAAAAATTCAAATATGGGAGTCGCTTAACGGCCTAACTTTGCCTAGTGATTTAAAAGACTTTTATCTAACTACTGATGGCATCGAACTTGGATGGTACAGTATTTGTAATGGTAAATTGTGAATCAACTAATAGAATCCTTTAGAAAAAACATCTGCAGCTGGACTGATCAAGATAAATAAACTAGAGGATTTCAAGTCCATAAAATTAAATTGCATAAATCTTGATGAAGAGACAAAAAACGACGATTTCGAGGTATTTGTAAACAGTTTCCTAGGCCCTGGATTCAATAGATGGCCGATTAGTTATGAACTAGAAAAGTGTCTGAATGGCGCCACGGTTATTTATGTTTTTAGTGATAATCAAAAGGGTGTTTTTATTTTAAATAATGATTTGAGTATTCACAAAATTTGCTGCACATTTCAGCAGTACATCAGATTGGCAGTTGTACATTTAGGCTTACAAGATTGGCAAATTTGGTACACTGACGATGCACCAATTCCAAGTAGCCAAGTAATGTATACTTTTTCTCATCACTTTTTTCAGCAATTATGTTCTCTATACACACCTGAACGTTTGTTTCTGAATACACATGAATCTCACAAACAATTTTTGGCTAACTTAGAAAACTGGGTTCCTGTTTCCTTTAACTCCAGGAAATTACTGAACTTTGAATTTTCTGGGTAAGGTTACATGTAACATAAGTATAAGTATCGTTCGTACTAACTTTTTAAAATTTAGAGTGTTTTCATGGTGTTATACCGGGAACATTATATAGCATCTAGTTTGGCTAACGCTCGTAAAATTTTATTAGTTTTTATTACGGTCTTTTTAATGGCTCAAAATCTCTAGGAAATTACGAGTCGTTTATAAACATTAAAATGCTTCCAAACAAATAAGAATGTCAACAAATCTATAGTAAGCAAATTTTTTTAGCCTATCACTCATTTGCCGAGTCATATAGTATAAACAACGCCATACTTAAAAAATAAGATCGCACCGGATATATACAGTGACTTTTTAGACCAATGAATCTCTTGGAAAACGTAATAGTGAATGTGAGTTCCGAGCATATTTCTAGATGAATGCTTGAGCGGTTATTACTTTCGTCGACAATCTGCAAGTTTGAGAGAATGCTTCAATACTTTTAAAGTGGTGTAATTTACAAACTCATTTGAAAATATTATTTTATTGTAACCCTTGCAGCATTTTCTAGGTTTAGAGCTGATTGTTCTGGTTTTACCTTGGTTTTAAAAAGTTTAAAGCATAAAATATTGTGATTTCTATGGTTTTTGCTACATAGACACTTAAACTCATCAGTATTTGAAAGTTAGAATTGTAGTTTGCGTTTATACGAATTTCTCAAACCAATATCTCAAATGTAGCTCATTGTATAAAGTAGTCATTATTCTAAGAACCGGGTTTTATGTCATCATTCAGTACAAATGACATTTCCTAAAATATGGCTAAGTACCTTAAAAGACATCTCTGGTCTTCAAAACATGCAAAGTTAATTAAAAATATTTTTTGCTGATTATCAACCAGTAGGTAACTTGTTTAAACCCTGCCTTATCTACTTTAGTTTGGGCAACCATGTAGTATCACTAGCGACTTAACTGGATGGCTTAAAGCTGAGCACTTAAACCTGTATTTGATAAGTAACTTACTTCACACTTATTGTGTGTTACTCATACTGTAACAAGTCTACTATGGTAGTCAGTTACTTATGGATTCGTCTGTTTAAAGTTTTGGTTTTTGATGCTTATGAGTACAAGATTACTTCTCGAGTTTTGAAAGCAAGTTACACAGTAAGTCTCTTCAACCTTGTTATATACATAGTGTTTACCTCTGAAATCTTTATGACCCACATGGCTGGAAAGTATTGAATTCTAATGCCGTACATAATTATCCTCCAGCAGAAAATCTGAAATTAAAGGTTTTAATAGTTAAATAATTAATCAATTTTATTTCATGAAGTCAGAATCTTTGGAGTAAACACCTTCCACAATGAATCTAAAAAGTGATTATGAGACGTTAAATTTTTTGTTGATCATCTGTCTGTGAGTTTTATTGGTGATGTATTGTGATATTTTCTCTCTGGTTTCCTTAATTATCAAACACTGTTTTGAAATCGTCAACATAATAAATATTCTTTATTGTTTGGTCTCAAACTCTTTTTACTTTCTTCTTAGTAGGATGAATCGTTCTAATTCTTTTGGAAAAACTACCGTTCAATCCGATATGTCGAACAAAAACGGAAGGTATGTTTGACTCTTATCTATTGATTTATATACTAAATCTCCGACTTAAAATTATCTCAAGCCATCCTTGATTTCATCCGTTATCAAATGATATTAACAAGCTAAATTATATTTTGATCGTTTACAAATCTAATTTTGACTAAAAACAGAAATTTAAGTTTGAATTATATATATATATATATATATATATATATATATATATATATATACTAAATCGTTAAGTACACAGATTGAAAGATACAAAGAAAGATAGTAGGGAAAACGTTGTAAATCATACCACATTGAATAATAAATCAGTAGGACCAGGGTAAGAACAAACTCCTTTTGAATACATAAAAGGGGCTTCAATCTTCATTTGACCAAGGTCTTAATAAACTTTTGTATGTGTTTTTTAAACACGTATCCAACGCTACAAAGTTAACTTGATTTCCACCTCATGACCAATCTTAAACAAATGTTTCGCAACGGCGGAAGATGTTTGCCTTTCTTGTGCTGTTAGTTGACGATTGGAACTCGTTTGATTTTGTGTCCAGTCACGCTTACATGGAGATAATGATTCGCATTCCCTAAGTATATGTGCTCAAACACTTGTAAACTGACATACTCAATGGAGTATAAAAGACTCGTCTTAAGATGTATATGTATCGTCAGATTGTTTGGTATTTATTGTTCCAATATGTCACATAGTCCTGATAAACTTCGTATGCTCATTGGATTATCCAAATTTATCAACGGGATTAGTTACTTTCTACAAACTAATCTTCCTGACTTTTAACTACTTAGTCATAAAACAATCGGTTTCGTGTTATTTAAAAATAGAGAAATGTAAAGTATGTCGACTTTCTTTGGAAAACTTACTCTGTTTGCATAGTCAATATTGTAAATGCATACTTTTCTTGCCATAGAATGTTTTAATTTGAACAGATATACTTTGCGTTACTTCTTACGTTGTTCATAATTGACTGACTGTACAGTTGAATAATGATAAGATTTATTGCAGTTAGTATCTAGTGTCATAATATGATCACAATCATCAAGTGTATAGATTCTGGCAGTATAAATTCAGTCAGTTAGTAGAGTTATTCTAAATTATTTCATTTCATTTTAGTACTGACATATTACAAGGTAAACTTCTTCAACGTTTAGTTTAAATAATCTTTTAAAAATAATTATTTTGCTTGTTTTACTTGCTTGATCCAAAAATTTCAGTTCCGCTGACTCATGGAACTCAAGATCAAACGATATTGTGAATACGAGTAGAAGGTCGAAAAAATGAAAATTTGAAGTTATGTGTATTATGTAAAACTGTTGAATAGTGTTTATTTATTTATCCAACCTGAGGATTTTGTATAATTATTAAATGATCTTTGACTTCAACAAGTATTCGTTTGTTTAGAACCACTAATATAAATTCTATTTCGAAATATTTATCTGGAAAGATGATTACTTGTTTTCCCTTATTTGCAAGTTAGCCTATGAATAAATCTATCTACATGTTAGTAAGTATGACTATTGTTCAAAAATGAATTTACTCAGTATCTATTGTTATAAACAATAAAGCCTCATCTCTGAAGTTGTAGCTATCAGTGTCAAAAACTTACGCCTGTTACTCCCAATAGAGCATAGGCCGCCTACTAGCATTGTCCAATACACTCTGTCCTGGACCTTCCTTTCTAGTTCTCATGTCTGTCTCCATTTCTCGGCGTAATGTGTTCTTTGGTCTTCCTCTCTCCCTTTGGCCTTGAGGATTCCATGTGAGGGCTTGCTTTGTGACTCAGTTGGGTGCTTGCCTCAATGTGTGTCCTATCCACTTCCTGATTTCTTCCTCCACTGAAATCTGGTTTGTTCTCTCCCACAGTACAACGTTGCTGATAGTGTCTGGTCAACGGATACGAAGAATTTTGCGTAGACAACTGTTAATATAACACTTGTATCTTCTGGATGATGGCTTTCGTAGTTCTCCAATTTTCCGCCTCATACAGTAGAACTGTCTTGACATTTGTATTGAAAATTCTGATGTTGGTGTTGGTTGGCAATTGTTTTAAGTTCCAGATGTTCTTTAGTTGTAAATATGCTGCTCTTTCTTTGCCGATCTGCGCCTTCACATCTGCATCAGATCCACCATGTTCATCGATGATGATGCCCAGATATGTAAAGGTTTTCACATTCTCCAGAGCTTCTCCATCAAGTGTGATTCGATTGGTTCATGTTGTGTTGTATCGGAGAGTCTTGCTTTTCCCTTTGTGTATGTTGAGGCCTACTGCTGCTACACTGGTCGTTTTCTGTTTTACATCAATGGTTGACCTAAAATATATATCCCTTGAGACCGGAGAACGCTGGACGTTTATCTGTCCTGGTGTATATCTGAGTTATCAGGAGTGTGCATCCACAAACTCCCTAAGGATCAAAGGAAAGCTTTTCGGGTCTTACTGCAAGCGCATTTCTTTAAAACCATTCAGTGGACATCAAATAGTTCACAATTTCTACTTCATTTGAAGTACAAAGTTTCGATAACAGGATCCTTTACCATTGGTATACCTGTTTTACTCCTGAGATGCTTGAGTTATATCACTATTGAACCACCGTATGATTGTTGAGTGACCTAGTGGTTATGCACATGGCTGTGGAGTTGGATACTAGGACAAAATAGTTGTCTAGTTTTATTTGTCTGTTAATAGGAGACTAAATAAAGTCCACTCATGATTCAGAATGTGCTTAAGATGAACAACCTTTACAATTTCCAATCATAACGGTTTAACATTTTCGGATGAACGAAGTTTATTAAACTACATGATTTAATAAGGCAATACATTTTGAATGATCAAAATGAATGATGGCTTTTGGGATATTCCATGTTAATATGTGAATAATGATACTATAGTGCATGTACGATAAATGTTTCCTCTAGAAAAGATACATATACACATGGTTTTTCATCATAGATTACCTACAAAAACTATTTTTAAGTATGGTTAACACATTCGCAGAGTATATGCACCATACATTCATATGAATTGTTTTGTTATTAATGAAGCAATAGTTTGAAAATGGGTATGCTAACATCCAAAAAATATGCACATTAATTCACCTCTTTCTTATTGAGAAACTATATAGGTTTACGAAATCGAAAAAATTGTATAGACATTTAATGTAATCGTGTTATTATAAAGTAAGAAATGTACAGTCAGAATTCAATTAGTGACTAATCTTTACAACTAAATTCACTTAGTATTACTTGTTTGAATCTTCCCATTGATGTTTAGGACCGCAATTGATCAGTCTCTTATTGGTATATGTGCAGATTGCCTCGATATTGCCTTAATTCACAAGCATTGTAAGCAAAGCATGACAGTGGCTAGCAGTGGAATCCAGGTCGCGCGTTTCATCCTATTCGGGACTCGTCAGCTTGATGTACCTGCATCTCAGAGTTGATGTTCACTCTGGGACTCGAACCCAGTACCTTTCGCTTCGAACACCATCGCGTTATCCACTCAGCTACTGAGTCCTGATAGTTACTTGCTTGTGCAATGGGGTGAATTTTAGATTCACTTAGTATTACTTGTTTGAATCTTCCCGTTGATTTGTTAGGACTACAACTGGTCAGTCCCAGAGTGAACATCAACTCTGAGATGCAGGTACATCCAGCTGACGAGTCCCAAATAGAAGGAAACGCGCGTCCTGGATTCCACTGCTAGCCACTATCCATCCTTTACAACTAAACTAATTATAAATAATCATATATCTGATGTGTAAACGAAATAAATAGGTTGCTTTGATAAAAATCAAAAATTACTTTTATTTGAAAGGATTTTATTTTTGATTTCATAAATTTAAGATGAGGATTACTGTCCGATATTCTGAAGAATTCCCATTTTCGTATGATGATTTTATTCATTTGTTTTATCTATTCACGTGTAAAAATAATAATTCTGATGTGGGATCAAATATGCACTTGTTTAAATGATTTGTAGAATCTAAAAATACCTAATTCAGATAGCTTAATACATCATCTACACAGATTAATTCATCAAGAGATTCACATAATATTAAACGTCTTCTTTTTTATAGGAGACTGTCATAACGACAGTAAGTTGATACTGACCAAGATACAATATAAGATTATTTGTGCTGTTGAAAAATTTAATGATGAGAAAATCGGTTAAATTTTAAATTGTAGAAATATTTTTGGTTAGACAATAACAGTAGAAATATCATGTTACAAAGTGTTGTTCATTAGAATATATAAATATCCAATACGGTTAGGTAACAAGTCAATCTCTTAATACATCTTTTTCAGTGAAGAATTTTGAGATTATAAGATATTAGAACTATGAAGTTAAGATCTATCTCTTTACTCTTTAGGAAAGGAAAATTGAATCTTTACCACTCAATGAAGTACTCCTTTACATATTGGTAAAATAGATTCATAACTGATATTATCACTGAAATGCTTTGTATACTTTCGTACTTCTAATGATTATGAATGTAAAAGTCTATCAAGTTTTACACTTAATCACCGATGACAGATGTGTAAAATAAATACCATATTCAATTTTGTTAGAGAATATTTTCATCGTGAAAACTCGACCGTAATTGGCTGAATAAAAGAATTTATTTATGAGATCAAATTACTTACTTATTTTCGCCTGTTACTCCCAGTGGAGCATAGGCCGCCGACCAGCTTTCTCCAATCCACTATGTCCTGGGCCTTCTTTTCTAGTTCTATCCAGTTCTTGTTCATTCTTCTCATGTCTGTCTCTATTTCTCGGCGTAATGTGTTCTTTGGTCTTCCTCTTCTCCTTTGACCTTCAGGATTCCAAGTGAGGGCTTGTCTTGTGACGCAATTAGGTGATTCCCTCAATGTGTGCCCAATCCACTTCCAGCGCTTCTTCCTGAGATCAAATTATTAGTAGTTAATTCTTAAGATCATATCTAATTACCTTATATACAACTTCACACTTTCCAATCGTACAATCGACGATAGCAACAACTAGTGACCCGAGATCTGATTCCAGTTAGGTTGTATAAGTGATTGTTATTCGAATATACACGTCACCAATCTTTGTATATTATCATCGACCTAACTAGAGTTGATGAATAACGGAATTAAAATAACTCAAGTACGAGAATGAATTTCGAATACGTATATTTCGTACAATCGTTTTACCAGAAAGCAAAGCAAAACAAAATGACACGCGATCGAGAGGGCGTATGAGCCAACTCGATCTAACCAAGCGCAAATCAATATTTATAGTCAGACAAAAATAAGTTACAGACATGTGATGAGTAAAATTAGGAATGCACACACCTACGCTTACATAAAAACAGTTAATGTTGATAAGTGACAGGGTAAAAATGTGGCTGGAGAAGAATGAATAGATCGATCTGTCCAAAGACGAGAATAACCTATGCGGGCTTGACATAGTACCAGCCCCTACGTAAAAAGCAGCTTTCGACTTGTTCATTTATCCTCGTTTTTATTGTTTTCGGTGGGGTGAAGGTGAGAGCATATGAAGCAGTGAGAAGTAATGTGAATATGGACTGTTGATTAATACCTTATTAAGCCCGTTAATTGAGTAGCATTGGAGGTTTGTAAAACAAAGATTCTGTTACTCACATATGATGTACAAAAATGACTTAGGGTCTCAATTTCTTGTAAATTTACTAAAATGTTTTGGAAATACATCTTTCAGTGTAACTATAAGTTTTAATGTGAAGATAAGTTTTATTCATAGTTTATTTAATCTCAGTTTAAATGATTTCAATTGAAATGTAACAACAAAGTGATATTTATGGATTGACTGAGTTCATAACTAAAATGCCATTGTCTTTCCTGTTAACATGACATGTTGAGCTAATGGTGTAGTGTATCAGAATGGCAAATTCACAGAGAATCACTAAGGTATATGGTACCAGGTTTAATTGTTCAAAATGTTTTTCAATGCTATCAGTATTTTATTTAGTCTGTAAAAGGTGGAAGACCAAACGTGATGAGGCATAGAGTTTATCAAATTATACGGATTTGAGTATACGTTTACGTTTTGAATGGTCTTGGAAAATTAATTTTCGTCATTATGTCAAGTAGTATCTTAATAAATATCTACATTAATTTCAACCAACTGCCTGTATTAACAACCCCATTACTGTCTTACTGTTATTTAGATAGAGAAAATTTATAAAACGAACTAATCGCTCTAAATTTACTGTTATTGCCGTATTGTAACTCATCAAATGAACACACTTATCATAAATTTTAAGGGTTTCTGCTTTTCGGTTGCTGATGTTCAGATGTAAATGAATCAGTCTCTGTTAACATATGGGGTCCGTAAAAGAATGCGGCTGTTAATTTGTTTGCAACTTGTATACTTGATGTACCTACATCCCTGTATTGTTTGGCTAAAATCCAACTCGCTACCTATCTCCTCCATTACCAAATCGTTATTTACTTGTCTGATGAGTTAAGCTGTCTTTAATGTAGTAAAACTTTTTTGACACGGTTAA